GAAACCAGAAGAAATCTGGGATGGGATTGAAAAAAATTTTTAGAGTGAATTCATGGATTGCCAGACAAAGAAATTTACCAAGAGATGTGGTCATATATTTTTCTAGAAGATTAATTCGCAATGAAATTATACAAGCTTTTTATAAACAGAGATTCCAAATTGCAAATCAAGATGTTATAATTTTAAAAGAAATACCTCCCAAAATTTTAAGAAAAAGAAAAGAATTTACTTTTTTATCAGAGCAGCTTAAACGTCATCAAATCCAGTTTAGATGGGAAATTCCAGCTGGGATAGTGGTGAACTACCTAGGAACGCGTTACAGATTAAATACAGTGTTAAAGGCAAAAGATTTTTATTCTACCGTTCTGAAGGCTGTTTCGCCCGTATCTCCCCAAGCTAGCAAAACTGGAGACAAACAAGTAAATTGGAGGTGCTATTGCCAGTGATTTATAAGCGGAGTCTGCTTTACAGGTTTTAGAGATTAAAGAACAAAGGATGACTCGTGCTGCGCATAGACTCAGGGAAAAAGAACGGAAGCAAAAGGCCAGTGAAAAAATAGAAGGAACTATTGTTACCAAGCCTGTGGGAGGAGCAAGACCAAAGAGATCTTCTACAGTTGATCTACAAGTTATGCTTCAAAGGCTTCAAGCGGCTTTGGATGTCAAAGTTTCTGACATGGAATGTTAATGGCTTGAATTCACCACAGAAAAGGAAAAAAAGTATTTCATTATTTGAAACAATATAACAATGACGTTATATGTTTGCAAGAAACTCATATAACTTTGAAAGACTCTAAATACTTGATAAATTCTCGTTTAGGTTCGCATTTTATAGCTCCTGCCCCGGGAAAAAAAGGGGGAGTTGTAATTTATGTTTAAAAAAAACTTATCAGCTAAACTAATTGATTCTGATTCTCAAGGAAGATATGTTATTATTGAGTTGGTATCGCAAGGCAAGAAATTCCTTATTGTTGGACTATATGCTCCAAATCAACAACAGAAACAATTTTATAAGTTTTTGCATGGTAAAATAAATCAGTTGGATTATAAATCGGTGATTTTGATGGGTGATTGGAATGGAGTTTTGGACACAAGGAAGGATAAGAAGGGTTCTTTTAAAACTCTTAATCAAACTAGATTGCCAAAAGCCTTTTTTGATATGAAAGATGATTTGGAACTTACTGATATTTGGCGAGAGAGGAATTTAAATGAAAAAGATTTTACTTTTTATTCTGACAGACACCAATCATTCTCCAGGATTGATTTTTTCTTGATTACTACTGATTTTCTTTCTAGGGTTAAAAAAGTCAAGATTTTTCCTAGGACTTTATCTGATCATAGTCCAGTTTGGTTGGAGTTATTTATGGAAGATGGGAATAGAAGATCTTGAAGGCTGAATGAAAATTTATTTACAAGCGAGGAACTGGTGCAGAAATGCAGAGAACATTTGAAGGAGTTTTTTGTTTTAAATATGAATAAGGGTACCTCAATGTCTATGGTGTGGGATGCTAGTAAAGCTTACATGAGGGGTTTTTTGATTCATATGAATAATGCTTTTAGGTCTAAATGGACTCAAAAACGTAAAGAAATTGAAGAATAGATTAAATCTAAAGAAAAGGGTCTTGTTTTAAATCCAATGGATAATAAGTTAAAGGTTTCTATAAATTTGCTTAGGGAGCAATTCAATATGTTAATGGCAGATCAGGTTGCAACTAATTTGTGTTATATGAAACATAATACTTTTTGTAATGCTTAATAAGCCAGGGAGGTGGTTGGTTTATCAATTACATAAAAAACAGAAGGCTAGAATTATAGAGAAAGTAAAATATAAAGGTAATGAAGTTTATCAACAAGATTTGATCAAAAAGTGTTTTTTAGATTTTTATACAAAATTATATGCTAGTAATAATATACAGGCTTTAGATGTAGAGAAGTATTTACAATCAATACATTTTCCTAAACTTTCTATTGAATAACAAAATGTGATGAATTGTTTAATTACTTCAGAGGAAATTGGTTTTGCTATTAAACAGTTAAAGATTGGAAAGGCTCCTGGCACAGATGGATTAACGGCTAAGTACTATAAAATGTTAGGTCAAGAAATGATAGAGCCATTAAAAGAACTTTTTAATGGTATATTGTTGGGAGCTTCGATTCCTCCTTCTTGGCGGAGGGCTTTTATATCATTAATTCCTAAGAAGGATCAGGATCTTACTGAACCTAAAAATTATAGACCTATATCTCTTTTAAATGTAGATTATAAGATTTTTTCTAAAATTTTGGCAAATAGATTAATGCAGGTTGTGAAGGACTTGATTCATAGTGATCAATCAGGATTTATAACAAGAAGGTACATGAAGTATAATACAAGACAAATTATTAATTTAATTGAGTATTTGGATAAGAATAATCAGATTCCTGCGGCTTTTATATTTTTGGATGCTGAGAAAGCTTTTGATCAATTAGACTGGAAATTTTTGTTTTTATTAATTGAAAAAATGAATTTTGGAGATAAGTTTTTACACGCTCTCAAGGCTATATATCATCAGTAGTCTGCTCAAATTATTATTAATGGGGGATTGACAGAGACTTTTAATATTGAAAAGGGTACAAGACAAGGTTGTCCATTATCTCCTTTGTTATTTGTGTTGACAATGGAGATTTTGTTAATTCAAATTTGAGAGTCTACAATACTCAAGGGAATAAAAATAAATAATAATGATTATAGATTGTTATTAAAGTTAATAACAATAAGACTAAGATATTATTGGGAGTGTTTATAACTGCTTCTAATGGAAAATTATATAAGAATAATTATGGAGTATTATGGACAAAAATACAAAAAGATTTAAATGATTGAAAAAAATTGCAATTGTCGTTGTTGGGGAGAATATCAGCTGTCAAAATGAATGTTCTACCAAAGTTTCTTTTTTTGTTTCAAATGATACCTATTTTAAAAAAAGATGCTAATTTGAATGAGTGGCAGAAGGGTATCAATAAATTTATATGGTCTGGGAAGAAACCAAGGGTGAAGTTTAAGATTTTGCAAGATGCTTGTGAAAGAGGAGGGCTTAAAGCACCTAATTTAAAATTATATTATGATGCAGCTGCATTAACTTTGATAAATGACTGGCTTAATTTAACAAATAAAAATATTCTTTCTCTCGAAGGGTGGGATTTATTATATGGTTGGCATGCATACATAATTTTTTAATAAGAAAATTGATCGGGCTTTTAAATCGCATATTTTAAGAAGTGCCCTACTTTGAGTTTGGAAGAAGTATTATTATAGGTTAAATTATAAAATACTTATTTGGGGGATTCCTGGACATGCAATAGAGAGGATATAGAAGGGGATGAATTTTGGAAAAATTTCATATAAAGAATTACTTATATGGTCAGATAATGACTGGCAATTAAAGTCTTTGGAGGTATTAAGACAAGAGAACATTTTACAGTCATGGTTTCAATATTTACAAATAGTGGACAAGTGGACTTTAGACAAAAAAGTGGGGATAACATTAGGAGATGAAAATCTGATAATACAGATTAAAGATCAGAACAAGGCTCATATAAAAAGAATTTATAATATCTTAATAGAATTGGATTCAGAAACGGAATTGGTTAAAGATTGTATGGTGAAATGGGCTCAGAATATTCAGGAACCAATCCCATTGGATTTATGGGAGATAATTTGGATTAGAAATGTTAAATTCACACAGGCTCAAAATTTAAGAGAAAATTTTTATAAAATGTTTTATAGGTGGCATTTGGATGCTAAAAAGTTATCTTATATGTATCCTAATTTACAGCCAAAATGTTGGAGATGTGGTAGTTCTGATGCAACTTATTTTCATATTTGGTGGACTTGCAAAAATATTAAGGCTTTTTGGATTATGATTTGGTGGAACATTCAAAATATTTTTAAAAGGAAGATAAAGTTTACTCCTCCACTATTTTTATTAGGGATTTTTGATGATTTTGATGTTAAAGAAACTATTTTAATGTTGAATTTAATTACAGCGGCAAGGTTATTGATAGGTCAATATTGGAAGAAAGATTTGTTGCCTACATTAGAAGAATGGACATTTAAGGTTTCCAATCTGGCAGAAATGGCTAAAATTTCTGTTTATTTAAAGGATCATACACAAGAAAGATATATTATGGTATGGAGAAGATGGATAGATTATATTCAAATTAAATATGGAACTAAAAAGTTCCATTTATTTTATGATTAAAAAATAAGTATTATTAATAATAAGGTTTAAAGGGAGTTAAGGGTTAAGTATGATATTAATTGTTGAATAAATTGTTAAACTTGTTTAGCTTACGATTAATATATTTGTTAACTTAATTAGATTATGTTTAATATGTTTGATATACCCTGTATTTGGCTCCGGGAAGTGGGGGGTTGGGGGGTGGGGGGAGGGTTATTGGGTTTATTTTATAACTGTTAATAAAACTTTTAAGTAAAAAAAGAAAGCTATCTATAGTTCTAACTTACCATGAGGGGCATTCTGTTGTAAAATTATTTTTATCCTAAGGACAAATATAATACTAGCAGACATTTTTCTCTATTGCTATCACAGCTCTAGGTGTTTGAAGAGTTCTGAGCTTATCTCACTTGGACTTGTGTTTTCTTGAATCTACTTCTAGTTTCACTCTCAATTTTCCTTACAACAGACTAAGAGGAACAACAATCCTATTAATAACAAAGTCACCCAATTCTCTGTTGGAATATCACTTATATTTCAAAGGCAAATTGGAACAAGGTCCTTATGAATTCTCAGGACTATCTAGATATTTGTTTATTAACTTCCAACTGGACTTTTCAGTCATGCCTTTTGATTTGGAGTAATTTTTTACTTGCTTTCTTTTATATTTGGTGTTATTCACCTTAAGGATACATGGTGAAGAAAGATGGAGTAAAATTTTAAACAACAAATAACAAACCTACAACTATTTCCAACAGCCAGTATCTTATAATAGCACTTTCCTTACCCTGTAATAATAATCTCAGGATATGTCTGTGATCCTAGGTTCCATACTCCACCAGTGATAGGCCACTCCTAAAAAAAAATATTAATTTTTATATCTATCTATCTGTCTATCTGTCTCTGTCTAAAGTATTGCAATAACATGTTTTTGCTACTTCATTATAGAGTCAGTGACAATGTAATACTCACAAAACTATTATCTTTTATATTTACATGGTGATACAAAAGCTTAAGAAAAACACTTAATAGCTAATTACCAGGTTGTTTTATATTATGTTTAACCATGGAATTCCCTCCCCTTTTGGTGTATGAGTAAAACAGAGTAAAATTTATCTAAGGAAATCAATTGTATTTAAAGCAAAAATAAACGTTTAACCCTCATTATTATAGGCGCTGCAAGCTCACAGAATCTGATTCAATATTAAGAAACCTGGAATTCCATCTTCTGTGATTGTATATGTCAGTGGTGGCGAACCTATGGCACGGGTGCCAGAGGTGGCACTCAGAGCCCTCTTTGTGAGCATGCGTGCTGTTGCCACAGCCCTAGGCCTTCAGCTGGGTTTTGTAAAACCTTTTCGCTTTAGGCCTCTGCCATTGTGTGCAAAAAAAAAAGGTTCAATCAATCAGTCAATTTCAACTTTTCGCGGGAAAAAAAAGATCTTGCAAAGTTGGAATTGATTGATTGAACTTTTTAGTCTCACCCGGTCTGCTGTTACCACCGCAGCCATGCCCACCCAATGGGCCACACCCAGCCAATGGGCCACACCCACCTGGCACCCGACGATGCATAAGTGGGTTTTGGGTTGCAGTTTAGGCACTCGGTCTCTAAAAGGTTCGCCATCACTGGCATATGTATTTCAGATAGAATTCAGAGCTCAGGCACCCTAAGCTACATGCAGAGATGTATTCCAACCAACAGATTCAGTCTGAACTCTGAATTAGTCATTTAGAAAAAATTCGTTTTTATATGATTCACAGCTGCTTGTTTCCCCATTTGATTCAAATTCAACCCCTGAACTAGAAATCCCTGCCTCCCGTTTATGATAGCTGAGTATCAACAATCGGCTATAATTTGTTTCTACATAAGATATGACAAAGGTAGGCAAATTTGGGGTCTTGGGTATGTTTGACATTTTTTAAAGTGCTGTGGATTCAAAAATTAGGCTGATTAATAACAACCTGATTCTCTTGTAACAAGAGTAACAAGAAGTTGGAAGTGACACCTCTACTCACCATCTCTATTTCTGTTCTTGTCTCTTAGAGAAAGAGCAAGGGCTTCTCAGAAACAAGGGACGGGGACAGAGGGAGAGGGAGAAAGAGGGCAGGAACCTGCACATGGGGACAGGACAGGCCCAACATGAGACAGTCTGTTAAGACACAGTATCCCTAACAAAATATCATAAATACTAGAGGCAAAGAACAATGAAACATTACCAAGAAAACTAGCAATCTGTTTTAATTAGTATTGCTTCATAACACTTTCCCTTTTTTATTCTTTACCTTATTGCTATATCCTTGCTTCTTATGTTTTGCACCTACAGAATATAGCACAGGAATCAAATCTGGAGGACAATCAGCAAAATATTCTGTGCAGGTAACAGGTGAATCGTGAATGTCCATGGGATAAGGATTTTCAAAAATGGGAAAACTAAATGAAAAAAACGTTGATTAGCATACCCCTTAAAGACAAAATTACTTAATATATTAATTTTTTGAAAAGGAACATATTACTGAGTATATACACAGACACACAATTTTTAAAAAATTCTTGACACAAATGTGGACAGTGAGATAAAAATTAAAACTATGTATGCCAATTAGATTAAGATGACTACATACTAATATTTATTTATTTATTTAATTTATTTATATGCCGCCCAATCCCAAAGGACTCAGGGCAGCGTACAAAATAATAATTTAAGTGTTCTTTATTGGGGTTTATATACCATTCCAACCAAAGAAATTCTGAGCAGCCTACATTCCTTCTAATACTAATGAAAAGAGTAACACAATTTAACAAAGGGCAAATCAATAATAGTAGAAAAACAATAACTGAGAACAATTATAAAGAAGAATACAATCACCAAGGAACAATAAACATACAAATACAGTCCAGGATGGAGCTCCCAACTTCTACTGGATCTTCTCCCAGGCTTTTATAGCTCTCCTAACTCAACCAGATAAATGGGGCTCAAATCCTTTCTCTTAATCTCTTAGAGCAGGGGTGTCAAACTAGTGGCCCGTGGGCCAAATGCGTCACATGCAGGCTATGCCCACCCCAGTTCCGCAATGGCAAAAAGGTTGCAATATGTCACGATACATTACATGAGATGATCGAGTTTGACACCTGTGTCTTAGAGAATCATGGTTTTTATGGGTGCTTTAGTTATTTTGTTGTCTCACTGTGTTGGTGAATATGGCATTTTAGATTGCAGATGCTGCTTTTAGATAATCTATAAATAAGTGATTCTGAAATAGCTTTTTTAAAAATAAGGCATGGTGATTAAAATTAGTGAACACAGAAAAATAGGGGAACAGAGAAGTATCTTTTAAAGCTATAATCTTTATTAGATAATTTACTAGAGTCCATAATTTTGGAAGGATATGTTTAACAAAGAAACAGACAGCTAAAGTTATCTAAAATATTGATCATAGTATCAATGAATAGTGAAATTGTTTGTTTTGAAAATACGCTGGCTTTGGTTTGTCATATTACATCCAAACTCAATAGCAAATCTATGCTTCTCTCCCAGGAATTATTGTTAACACCATATGGAATTATACTTACTGGCTTTGAGTCAGATCAACAACAATTAGATCTTTTTCCAATAGTACAACAACAGCATAGGGTTCTTGAATTTCTACATACAAATAAACACAAATTAGATTATTAAGTAAGAACCATACAACCATTGTTCTGAACAAATGCAGGATTTTTTATAAAACAAAATTGCTGCCCAAACCCTACTGAAGCAGCAGCGAGAACAGGCAAAGCAGTTGTATAAGAAAGCTGTGCATGCCCATTGACAGAAAGTCTTATTTTGGGGGGATGTCTTATTTTTTTCCTGATATTTGCCTTGCCTTGTGACAGCGGCACCAACAGCCCCATTCAGCAGGCTGTGTGGCCCCTGGCCCACTTCTGTGGCTGCTCGCGGCAGGCTGTATGGCCGCCAAGAGGCAAGGCACATGGGCGAGGGGGTGGAGCTGCCCCAAGCGCCCATAGGTGCTCAAACACTTTTTGCCTAGAGGGAGACTGGAAGCTTGATCTGCTTGCAAATGGGGCACTTGGAAACTGAGTGATTTGCTCTGTTTCCAAGTGCCCTATTTGCAAGCAGACAAAGCTTCCAGTTTCCCTCTGGGCAAAAAGTGTGTGGCGCTAAGAGGTCAAGTCCTGCCTCCCCCTGCCACTGCCTCTGTGCTTGGACTTACCTGTGCTGCACTAGGGGACCAGCGGGCTGCTGCTGCTGGTGGACACCATCAGCCCCCATGTGCTTGCTGGCCATCTCCACCCCCTGGGCTTATTTTTGGGGTAGGGCTTATATTTAGGCCCACCCCCAAAATCAGGCTAGGGCTTATTTTCAGGGTGGATCTTATTTTCAGGGAAACATGGTAGAAGTCCCTTCAAAGACCCTTCCAACTCTGTTATTTTGCATTCCATTCTGTATTCTAGGTGAAAGAGCAAAGGTATGCAGTATTTAATTTACTGGAAAGGCTGCTCAAAATCTGAACTCTCTTGAGAGAATGCAAGATAGGTCCCTGCTCCTGAGTTAATTTGGCAATTCCACTGTTTCCCTGAGGAGCCACCACCAACCAAGCTCCTGGTCCCCCACCCTGTGCTACTCAAGGACTCAACCTTAACCAACCTCTGTCGGCACATCCAGAGGCAGGCAGGGCATCTAATTATGCTGGGCCTTTCACTTCTGCCCTTCAAGCCCTGAAAGTAATGGAGGGAGGGACCTACTAAGCTTTTCATGTTTTCCAGCAACCACCACCTGGCTCCCTGGGGTGGAAGGGAGGAGGAAGATTCTTTAGAAATTGCTTCACTGTCTCCACTATCAAGTTACCAAGAGAACTCAGATTCTGAAGGTGTCTCTGAACAATCCATGGAAGTGGCGGGGGGGGGGGGGGAAGCAGGTTAGAGGGGAGGGTGATGTAGGAGATTAAGAGGCAGAACCTGGAGCAGAGTCAAAAAAAGGAATCAGTGTGGTTCCCATAAATAATCCAAGTCCAGCCCCCTTTTGAATTTTATTAACTCTCATCTAGTGCCAGTTTATTGTTGACAGTTGACTAGATTCTTGTGTACAGGCTTGAGCAATGAACCTTCTTAACCGGAACTTAATGTATGGTCCTGATTCTTTGCGGATGACAACATGTTGCTGTCAGATTAGCTCTTAAAATTGCAGTAAATCTAAATCCACAGAAATGGAGAATTTTCTTTTTTCTTTTAGTGATAGATAAATAGTTGGGAAAAAGTCATAGAACTTTGTTTTTATATATTATCATATGCAGAAACATGGAAAGATCTGGCACAATGGAGGAGTGGTTGGTGAAGATGATGAAACTTGCAGAGATGGTTAATTAGAGAAAAGACCATGCCTGCATTTATTGTTGACTGGAAATTCCTTATAGACTTTTTGGGTGAAACAGAAATAAATGAATTTATGGTTTATGTTGTGATGATTAGAAAAAAATGGATAACAGAAAAAAAGAGGGTTTTTGTAACCAAAAAAAGTAATAATTTTATATTTGTACTTATAATTGCTATAAAGAAAATGAGAAGCTACTTCTTTCTATTTCTTTTCTTTTTTTCACTTTTGGCTTTTTCTTTGTTTTCTTTTTTTCCTTCTTTCTTTCCTCTAAATTAGTTCTTGTTAGTTTTTATCTCTGTTTCAAAATACTTGAATATTAATACTGTAATATTAAAAAAATACACAGAGCCAGTACCTTAATTAACTCAACTGAATTTTTATAATTATTGCCAGCTTTTCCATTTTTTAAAACCCTTAATCAGCCTCTCCCTGCTTCACTGTTTTCTTTCCTGGCTTTTAAACATCTATCTCATGAAGGATTTTTATTTTTTTTAAAAAAAAAAAGCAAAGCCTGAAATTGTTACAAAATTTCAGTTGGCCTAATAAAAGGATTATGGATTATGGAATTTTTCATGGACAATGTTATGCAATGCAGTTATTATTCTTTGTTGTGTTATTTATTATTTAAACTTGTTACACATACTTACCATTTGGATATGGAGTTTCACAAAGAGTTAAAAAATCAACCACAGGATGATCCATCTCAAGCACTGTAATTGCTTTTCCATGCATGATTGTCAGACCTGGCCTTCGCCAAGGTTTATCATAAGAAAGTCCACCAGAAAAAATGATAAAAGGGTCACTATATTAAAAAATAAAATACAGTAATTATAGTTCACACCTTTTCATTGACTTTGAAACTGCAATTTTTGCAAGTTGAGATGAACAGATTATATCCAAATTGTAATTAAAACTAATAATCTTTCTAAGTGATCTTTCTAAAATTCATAAGATTATCAAATTTCTTTCCTATAACTGTGAAGTTTAAAGTAGTCATTTGTGCAGCTTTCACTGTTTCCTTAGCTTCGGCCAACCCAAACAATAACTTCAGTTGCTTGTTGAATCCAGAAGTAATGGCAAAAGCTGAAGGAGATGGGCTCTCTTACAGTACAGATGATCACTACGTACTGAACTCCTGCATCACAAATGCATTGCTCACTTACTACAGGCAAGAAGTTCCTTTAAATAGTATCTCTCTCCCCCCTACTGATTTCAATAATATATGGCTTATTCAATAAATAAATTATTTATTTATAAATAAATAAATTACACCTGATTTCCAGTGTGTGAAGTCAATCTCTATATGCTTCCCTGAAACACTTAAAAGAAACCAAAAACTTTTCCTGCTCTCAGTTTTTCTTATAGATCCTGTATATGTATAAGCAGAAACTGTCACATCGATTAACAGAACCGTACATGTTCATAGTTGAGAGAGGCAGAAAAAAGTGAATCTAATCACATAAGTGCCCTCACTTCATCAGGTACAAGGCCCTGTCTCAGGATCATAGCTGCCTCCTTAGTGTGATCAAGAAGAGTACCTACCTATTTTTACAGGTCTTGTATTCTGTTTTAAGAATGGGCTTACAAGATTCAACTTTTTTCCCATCTCGCAGAATCTTACCTGTAAAGGAATTGTTTAGAAAAGGCTCATTTATTTTCCCATAATGCCAGTAGATAGAGTTGCTATGGCTGTTCTAAGCAATAACAAACAATTACAAGAGTAAAGTGATCATGTTTCTAGGGGCCTTCGTGGATTGGAGGTGACCTTAGGGATACAACAAAGAACAACACTCCAATGTACTTCATAAGCTCAGCTGGGGCTATGGCATCAAAAAGAGCTGAAACATTTTCAGATGTGGCCTAATAATAAATTATTATTAATAGTAAAATACCAAACCTTTACTGAATAAGGCAGTCTTGGGCAGCTGACAAAGAGAGCAAGCTTGTCCCCTAAAAGCACATCTCAGGCAGTGACGACCATTCATTTTTCTAGACAACCTTTCTGGAGAATTTCTCCTTTTTAGTCTCACAATATTCATGATATTTAATGCAGGATTGGTTCTAGATATTTTGGCAGCCTAGGCAAAATCTTATTCCAGTTCTCCCTGAATGGGCTCATCTTCCCATTCAGTGAGGAATTTCAAAAAAGATGCCCTCTTGTTTCTTTCTTTCTTTAAGTTTTGGAGATTATCCTTAGGATTTTCCACTCAGGACAATTTTTTTCTCAGACATTTTCTCCTTATTTACACAGTAAGTAATTTTAATTACAGTATTCATTGTCATCATAAGGCAACAATTCAGAGAAATTATATTTAATGTTCGAGTGGCTGTGCTGGTTCACATAGTGCACCATTACTGCTTTTCTGTTTTTCACTGTGTTTTTGGAAGTCTTTTCAATTCTGGAGTTCCTGGGCCAGTGTCTACTCAACCTTAGCATAAAAGCCAGATCTGATTTTACATATGTGCCCCAAGGCCATTTTTCTTTCTGTTATTTCTCCTCGCTAAATTGTCCCATTCTAGCATCAAATCAAAACAACCTTTACCACAGTTAAAGACCAGCACAGTCCAGCAACAGAATATTTCACAATACTTCTCTTTTCTTTTTGGGTCATTTTTCTAGAGAAACATTTTCTCACCATTCATTTTCTCTGTATGTTTTTGCATCATCATTTCCTGTCTGCAAGTAATTCAGCTGCTCTGTCAGAATTTTATTCCCCAATCAGCTTGCTTTCTAAAGCTTCTGCTTGCCTTTGAAGGAAATATGGAAATATTTTTCTCAACTGGATAGATTAGACAAGAGGTAAATTAGTCCACGCATTAAAAGATTGCCCTTTTCTGGTTTGCCCATTCATCAAGTTGGTCTTTGGCTAATCCAGATAGATAACCTTAGCCTTAAGGCTATTGCCCTTTGCTGAGATTTGCCCCTAGTATAGATAGTATTGCTTGTCTTCTATTAGATTCTGACTTCTGGAGAGAAAGAGAATAGTGAGTCCCCTGCCATATTATTCAAAATAATAGGCTAGATTATGGAAAGCAGTTCCAATAAAAAATCATGAAAACTATGATAAATAGATCCTGGATTCAAATGCTATAATTCTATTTGAAATTAACAAGGTCCATTGCTCAGTTAGAGGCAATACAAAAGTGCATTGCCTAAGTCAGAACTTTAATGCTTTAATTGTCTTTTACATATATCAGCAACAATGGATATATCTTACCATGAGGAATGATTATCTGGAAAGGCCGGCTGGGACTTTTTAGATTCCATAGAGTTAAACTGCCATCAGAATGACTGCACATAAATTGCTTCCCTTCATGATGCCATCCAATTGAATGAATAGCCTAAGCAGAACAATAAATCACAAAGAGAACCTTGAGCTCCCCAAATAAAGATATCCTCTCTTCTTTATTGTTGGGAATACATGTAATGGCCTATTGAGACCATATCTAGAGAAATCAAATTTATGCAGAATGAATTCACCAAGGTTTAATACCGGGAACATGAAAAATAATAAATGCTCAGGGTCTAGTTAACTTATTAAGCCTCTTGGAAGAGCAAGAATACATTATGAAACGGGGTAGGAAAAAAACAAGAGAAGCTTCTTAGAAACTTCCTTCATTCTTTAGGGTTTTTAATTAAATTTGAATACTTTCACCTTCCTTCTTCTCCTCTTCCTTCTGCTAAGGTGATACCTACTCTGCTTCCAAATGGGGAACAATGACTTTAAGTAACAGAAAGTTACTAAATGTCTGAAAGAAAAATTCTAATGATAAGACCAATTTGATAAAGGAACCCATTTCCCCTCCACTATTCAAGCAAAAGCTTGAGAGCTGCTACCAGTGATAAATTAGATTCTTGCACTCAGTCAAAGCTCTGCAGCCCCTTCCATTTTTATTATTTTGATTAACCACTGAATTCCATTCTCTTAGAACCAAATCCCACTGAGCTCAGTTGCACTTAAATATATAAAGAGAACCCTTTAGAGGCCAATTCTTTGCGTAACGGTTCAATAAAGACTTAGTTCTATTCTGCCAGGTGCAGAGAGCAGGGCAGCAGATTTGGTATATGTGATTAATGTTAAAGCTTAAAAATCTTTTAAATCCCTCAGTAAATGGCCATGCCACAAACAAATTATGGAATCATACAGTTGGAAGAGATCTAAGAGGTCAAGTCCAGCTTCTAGACATTAACACGATTCACTACCCTATCCCCACTAGATGACTAGCCAGTGTCTGATTGAAAATGTCCAGTGAAGAAACCAGTCCATGTGGTAATCTGTTCCACTAATGTATGGCTTTTACTGTCAATTTTTTTCCCTATATGCTCAAAGTTTAATGCTATTAATTCTAGGCTTATGTACTGGGCACAAATGAGAATAAGTCTGAATCCTTTGCAGTGTATTTGCTCTTCAGCCGTTTGAAGACAGATATCGTGTCTCCTGTCAACCCTCCCTCCTAATAAATGGAGGAAGACAGTAACAGCCTTTTCTTACTTGGGTTGCATATTATTTGTTCTCAAAGTGATTTAATCTCTGAGTGGAAAATGTGTTATTCATCACTATAATTTCTAATCAATGTCATACAGTATTTTTAAAAATTGCAAAGCATATCTGCTATCTGGAGCCATCATTCATTAGTGATTGCATCAGACTCAGGCACTGGAGCTATACTTTGTAGTTGCTTCTACTCTTACAGTCACAAGGAAAATGAAAATGATGTTGCTGAAGTGGCTAAAGCCAAATGGATCAACTGTTCTTTCTTTTTTTTTTTTTTAAAAGAGTAATGAAGTCTACATCTCTGATTTTGTTCTGGTTTGGTTTAATACAAAAAAGGCACGTTAGAAGCCTTAAATAGCTTGATATTGTTGTTTTAGTTTATTCATTATAAAACAAAACTCAGAGATAATTCCCAATTTATACCAAATGTGGTTCATGCAATCCTTGGCTCAGTAACCATATGAATATTTTTAATGGTGACATTTAATGTAATGATTTCATATAGTTTAATTTTAGAAATCTATAATTGGAGTCTCCAGACCCAAACCTAGCTTTCTTCAGTTATCATCTTTCTATAAGCCAGTTATACATTGCAAGCAATGTGCAGGAATGAAACTGGGAACACGCCAATAGAATACTGTTGCTGCTGGTGCTGAAAATCATGAAAATCACGAAAACCTGGTGGGCACATTTATTGAAAAAATAGTAGAAAATAAGCAGGTTAAATATTGTAAGATTACTGAATGCAAACCTGAGGACAAGTAGAACAGAAGAAAAAGAATTGGAGAGGATCTTGAAGTATCAAGATCTGAAAATCGAAATTGAAAGATTAGGGCATAAAGTGGCAATAGTTGTTGCAGTGGTTATCAGCACACTGAGTGTCGTACCTAAATGACTTTCAAGGGATCAAAATGTAATCTTTTATGTATGATCCATCTTTCATGTATAACATAACCCAGCTATTGTTCATTTATTTATTTTTGCTTCCTTTCTGTACGTGCTCCAATGTAATCTAAATTGCACTGACCAAAGAAAAAGAAAAAGCTTTCTGTTACTTTAAAATGTGTCTGCTTGCAACCTATCCTTCCTTCTCCCCTCTTTTTCTCTGACTCACAAATGTATCACTTTGCTTCTGCTTCTCTGCTGCAGTTTGAAAAATATGGAAAGTTTCTGGGCTAACTGCCCAGCTATTGAGCTATTGTGTATTAGAGCTTAGAGATGCAGGGCTGTAACAAATTGAATAGATAAGGAAATTCAAACGAAAGAAGAAATCTTTTAGATGTGCAAAAACCTTGTAATGTTAAGAAAAATGTATTAGCTATAAAAAGGAAGAAACTCTTGATTAGGTATGCCTTTTCTCTTCTGTCTCGCAGTATGTGTGTGTATGTCAAGAGATTAGGATACCCCAGCTACTACTTTGATCAAAGGAATAAAGCTGTATTCTTTCAGTAGCCTCGTGTTCAGAATTTTTGGATTTATCAGAATTCTGAGCTACAAACCTTACACCTTGATGTCTTTGTATTAACAAATTCAAATCTTAAGCAAGAAAGATATTTTTCCGTATAATTAGGGTGTTCTTATGGTTTGTTGCACAGTGAACCAGATGTTTAGAATAGATTTGGCATTTTTATCCACCTATTAAGTCCTTCACAAGGATCTGGATAGGCAGATATGGATGATTGATGGTGTTAAAAGTATTGGCACAGGATGTGAGCTGTTCTAAGTAAAACTGCCTTTTGCAATTAACTGATGGTGAGTTTTCAATGCCAATGGTGTTCAAGTGGTGCTCCAGATGTTTTGGGATTGCACCCAAAGTGCCTATTAAAACTGGCACTACCTTTGCTTTCTTTTGCCACAGTCATTCAACTGTTATTTGCAGGTTTTTGTAGTTTGTTATCTGCTCCAGTTCCTTCTTTTCTATTCTGCTATCTCCAGGTATTGCCATGTCCACTACCCAGACTTTTTTTTCTTTCTTATTGACAATTATTAAGTCTGGGGTATTATGCGGCAGATGCCCATTGGTTTGAATTCTGAAGTCCCAGAATACTTTAGCTTCTTTCAAAATTAACTACATTTGGATGTACAAATGCTTCCATTATTGAAAGCCATCCTGGAATTTTCAAGTATATTTTACATTTTATTTTTTCCCATGTTAATGATAATGCATTTCTTATATAGTGGTTTTGAAAGTACTTATGGATTTTATTTTTCCCATACCATAAAAAAGCATGCCAGCCCAGTTGTAAATCATGTCCCTCCAAATATAACAACCTTTTGTTTCTAAGAGTTATCCATTCTTTTACCCATGTTTATACAGATGTTTGATAATATAAGACCCACTCCGACAAACCAAAACCTCCGTTTTCCTTGGCTTCTTGTAACATTTTCATCTTGATTCTAGCTTTCTTTCCTTGCCAAATGAATTTCAAAATTAATGAATTTAAATCTTCAAATAATTTTTTCTCAAGTTTTATAGGTATTTTTTGGAATAGAAACAAGATTTGGTAATATATTCATTTTCACTGTAGCAATTCTTCCCAATATCGACAGTTACAGGTTTTTCCATTTGTCCAAGTGCAGTCTTATTTGATTCAATAATTTTGTATAATTATCTTCTTTTATTGTTGAACATCTTGCTGTTAAGTATATTCCCAGATATTTAACCATTTTAATTACTTGTAGTTCTATTTTTTCTGACATTTGTTTTATTTTGCTTATCTGAGAGATTTTTAACTATTACTTTATTTTTTTCTCTGTTTATTTTCACTCTTGTTATTTCTCCATACTGTTCTATCTTCCCCAGTAGTTTAGGAATCGTCTCCAAGGGTTCTTCTAGAACAATGATGGCAAACTTTTTAGAGACCGAGTACCCAATCCTCAACCCAAAACCCACTTATTTATCGCAAAGTGCCAGGGCCGCATCACATTGTGGTGCCCTCAGGGCAGTAGGGGTGGGCGTGGCCCACTGGGTGGGCATGGCTGCGGTGGTCACGGAAGACTGGCCGGGGTGGGTGTGGCCACCTTGACGTTGCTCGTGAGGAGGATGCCTGTGAGGGCTGGGCAGGATTGGGAGAGATCCAGGGGGTCTCTGGTGGTGGTGCGGTGGGCAGGAGGCTTGTCGTGCAGGGTGAGGCAGGATAGGGCAGGAGTGCCATTGCTGCGGGGCAAGGTGAGGCAGGGGGGCTGCTGCCTGACACCATCAGCCCCCGCACACAGAGGCCAGCGAGCGCATGGGGGCGTGGTCTACCACCTCTGCTCAAGCTTGCTAGCCAGCTGCTTCGCCTCCTTTGTGCTGGGTGGGGCTGCTGCTCCAGGCACCAGCAGTGGCCTAATGGACCTGCGTGAGCTGGCGGCAGTGGCGGTAGGTGTGCCCACAGAGAGGGCTCTGAGTGCCGCCTCTGGCATGCGTGCCATAGGTTCGCCATCACTGTTCTAGAATAAATACCAAATCATCTGCAAATGCTTGCAATTTGTACATTTTACCTTTTATTTCCAATCTTTTAATTTCTATATCTTGTCTAATATTTCTATTTAAAACTTCCAAAGTTAAGATGAATAACAATGGACATCCTTGTCTTGTACCTTTTTTTACCTCAAAGTTCTGTGTAGACTCCATTTACAATCACTTTCGCTGTTTGTTTATAATATATTGTTTCAATCATATTTATAAAGTTTTATCCAAAACTCATTTTTAATTGTTGGATCATAAATTGCAGGAAACATTATCAAATGCCTTCTGAGCATCTAAAAATATTAGTGCCAATTGTTTCCCTGGATGCAGTTCATAATATTCCAATATATCCATTATAAATCTTAGATTATTTTTAATTTGTCTCTTTGGTAAAA